CCTTAATCTAACCTATAAGTTGACATTTCCACAATCTAACTTTCAACGAGAGCACCAATGTTAGAATTCAAGTCTAAGAGAGAGTCCAACCCAAAAGACCATCATAATAAGTGGGAGAGCCCCTAAGCTTAAGTATCAAACTCGAAGGGTGTGAGATCCCCATGTGAGATCCTAACACACACATCATGTTTCAGTCAAAATAATAGAAGTCAAATAATGGAATTAAGTTGAATATGATAAAAAAGAACAGGGGATTTTAGTTGAGTTATTGTTTCGATAGTGAATTAATAAACTACAAATCAATCATTCTCATGGTGCACAGGTGCATGCCTTGCTAACCCATGGAAGAAACAGGCACAAATTTGACAGTTTTTTATGAACTCCGATATGCTTTTTCAAGAAGGAAGGTATTGAAACATAAATCATCAAGGAAGCATAGTTGAATTTTTTTTATGATAGATACTGTAAGTTAATGTGATACAAGTAAAGAGAATCACTAACCGTAGTCGTCTAAGTCTGACAAAGTCGTAACATCCTTTTGAGCTGTTAGTAGCTGAGAAAAAAGAAAACGTTTCGCCAATAAAAGGCAAACCCAGGCGTCCAGGGATGTAACTGTTCTCAGTCCTTGTGACCCTTCTCCAAGCTATTGACAAACAAAGTGTTATAGTTATAGAAAACACTGCAACTATGATAACATCATAATAGTTATGTACGAGGAAGAGCAGTTCTTCCATTGATAGATTCATCATCTTTAAGTTTCTTCAAACTATCCACTACCTGAAGGGTGAGATTATGGTTAAGTTGGTACATCTTTATAATATAGGTAGAAGACGAGGTTTGAATGAGACAAAATTCTTCTTATGGAACATTGATAATTAAATAGGGAGCATCTTTTTGGCGAATGCCTAGGCTTATATAAACAAAGATCCCTTGTAGTAACAGACAGCCTATTAAGTTAATGTTTAATGTGGTGCATTGTTTCAAAATTTGATAGAGTAATGATAGGTATACTATCTAATCACATAATTTTCTCTCACAATTTCTAATATGATCAGGCATGTAGCCACGTAGTAGCTTGTGGGTTCAATTAAACCTATTGAATTTGTCAAAAATTTCAAAAAAGTATTAATAATTTATAGATTTTACAATTTTAACCCCACTTAACTTTACATTGACCCTACAAAATAAATTATTAATTAATATTTTTTTAAATTTTCTCTTTTCTTTATTTCCTCTCTTTTGCTCTCATATTATATTTTTTCTTTGGTTAGATAATCAAGAAAGGTTACTCCTTTGAATTACAAGATAAGACGATACTAATTTTATTTTTATTTTTTTACTTAAAATTAATTCTTTTCTTTTAGCTTTCTTAATTGATGAAAGATCATGAGTTATAAGTTTAATAAATGAGTTTGAAATAATTCATAGATTTTGATGTGAGTTTTGATTTAATCTTGTTTATGTTGAGGTATGAGTTAATTAATTGCTGTTTTAAGTTGAGTTTGATAAATTATGGTTAGTTATTGAGTTAATTTTGAATATGATTTAAAGAATTGATGAAATCCTAAGTTGTAAAGATTTGAAAATTTGGTTTAATTTCGATATATTGGTTATTTGCTTGATATTTACAGTTAGATTTGATGAGTTTTCATATGTTTATAAGTTGAATTTTATTGGGGTAGTAGAAATTATTTGAAAAACCTAAGTTCTGAGTTGAATTTTGATAAATTTGTGTTGTTTTTTAATTTTAATTGCAAATAAATTATATTTCTCATAATAAAAATTATTTTATTTTTTTTAGTTATGGATAAGTTTTTGATCAAAAGAAAGTTTTCTAATGAGGAACCATCAATTGAACAAAACATAAGGCGTCACGATAGTGTTCACAATGAGCTTATGAAATCTAATTCAAAACAAACATATGTTAAGCTTAACTTGAGTAGTCTTCCTGCAGATCTTGGATTGAGGATTAAAATTTTAAAATATCATCCTAATGATAGAGACAAAGTGAGAAAGACATATTTGCAAAAAGGACCTTGCCAACCACACAATCATAATTTTAAAAAGCGAGCAATTGAGAATTTAATGCGTCGTTTTAATCCCATTTGGTTTAGAGAATATACAAATTGGTTGGAGTATAGTATAGAAAAGGAGGGTGTTTTTGTTTGTGTTGTTATCTTTTTATACATGAAATTAACATTGATATTACATGTCGCAATGACAAGTGTTAAAAGAGCATTTTTTGCGATGAAGATTGTGAAAAATCGACTACGGAATCGAATGGGAGATCAATTGTTAAATAATTGTCTTATTACATATATTGAGAGAGAGATATTTGATGGAATTATCAATGAAGCAATTATGCAACGTTTTTAGAATATGAAAAATCATCAAGGACAATTGTAGAATTGATAATTTGGTATATATAACTTTTAAAAGTATATTTTTTATGTTTATTACTTCAGTATATATTTTATTGTAAATTTATCAACTTTGATATTTTGAACCCACTGACTCAGAATCCTGGTTACGTCCTTGGATGTAGTAGTTCGTCATTAGTCAATTCATAAAATGGGTCCCGTCTATTTGTATGGGTTCCGTTTACCTATTTACGAACTGACTAATGACGAACTGTCATGTCGGAATTATGAAATTGGGTCATGGACTAGCATTATTGAAATAGTGAGATATAATCTGATATGATGTTTCAATCTTAATAACAATAATGGTGATGCAGGTCGACTAGATATTCAAAAATATATTGGCCAAGCTGGATGCCTCGATTTGTGAATTTAAGAACAAGTTGTCTAAATGCTTTGTTTCTAAACGCATGCATGTGGAAGGAAGAACCCACTTTAAAAGTAAAAGGTAATTGAGATAATGTGGTCTATGTTGTATTTCCATCATTGGAAAAGAATGAGTGATCAATTAAGATATACACTAACTGTTGAAATAGTATTTAGTTACAGGAGAGCTCACTGAACTCAAGATGATTCATTTTAGTGTAAATGAAGGCTAAAAAGGCATATATGTTGGGGTGGTCTGGCCAGTCATGATTATTGCAGATGCATGCTGTGCTCAAACTGTGCATTATTGCGAAAAGGAGGCCCGTTTCTTATGCAATGCATGTGTTTTGTTGCAGAATGAGATATTTAGGTGATTCATAGTGAGGTCAAACAGTTACGGCTCATTATGTTTCATGCTTGGGTCATTGTGTGATATTTTCACATGCCTAGTTGCAAATTAAAGCGATGGGAAAGGACACAAACTGAGGGCTTTCCATGAGAGGAAATCGATGAAATATGAAGTTTGTCCATGAGAGTACTAATTAATCACCATTGAGATTGTTAGTGGGCAGTCATGCAGTGTTACTAACATCACAGTTAAAGTTCACAACATTTGGCTGCAGTGAACCCAAAAAGTTTCAACCAAACTTTTCTGGCTTAATGCGACATAACGCCTCCGTTGTCAACCTACTAACATCACAGATTTTACATGATATTGCATTGCTTTCAACCGAGGAAATGTGAAAGGGTTTCTGAGATTATAACAGTTTCATCTTTAAGGGCCTATGAAGTTACAAGTTTTTGTTTGAGCTGGGTGTTTTGCGGGCCTGATGAGTTGTCCATAAAGAGGTGTGGATCCAGTCCCGTCTGAGGCCATGGCACACAGGTACATGAGTTTACTGAACGACTTCTGCCAAGTGCTTGATTAATAGATGATTAGGAGTTATGTCTTTGGATAAAAATATTCAAAACTGTAATAATCTAGAAATATTCTGGAGAAGCTACCATATTTCACAATCCAGAGCCTAACTTAAAGAAGCCAAATTTGACGTTAACGGTTGCCCCTGCACCTTTCTATTACTCCACTTGGTCCTGTTTATTTTTCTACAGATCAATAAAAGAAGGGCTTAAGGGATAACAGACCATGGACTTACTGTTCATTGTAATGTATTTTATTATTATTTTTCCTTTTAGACTTTACTCTTTCAGATGTTTGGGACCATATGCTATGGTCCCAAAGGGAGGCTCTTTTAATAGGAAATTTACAAGACAAACACATATTCGTGAACAAATGTTCAAGGTCTATGCAATCTCTTTATTTTTTAAGAACCAAATAGGGAAAAAAATGGATCCAATTGCAATGAACTTGTGTGGTGAGAAGTAGATGAATATACCCTTTTGCTTTTGGTCCACTTCATGCCTAAACCCTAAAATTAAGGTTGATCTGAGCATCCACGTCTCCCTCGTTTTTTTTTGCCTTTTTATTTTTTTATTTTTTATTCGTTTGGTTTCGTTTTGTAATTGGTGATGCTCTGTGGACTCGGATGCTAATGGTAGATGACGCTGACTCGAATTTGACCTAGGTTGCTTTTGTTCGGACTAGGATTCCTTTATAATCTACAGAATGACCAAAAAAACCTTTACAGAGTTTAATTGCTACTAACAGCAGTTCATTTTTGTGGAAACCCATAATGGGTTTTTAGTAATTCTTCTTGTCCAATTTATGTTAAATATCACGAGTTCCCTTTTGCGAAAAAACATTCATAATTTACATCTTCTTCCACAAAGAGTGAAAAACAAAAAGCATTCTTGAAACACTATCAATTATCAAATTATCTCAAGTTCTCAAACACAAAACCCAACACCACAAATGGCGACACCTTCATTTGAGAATAAACTGGCCAAAGCAAAGACAATCTTAACTACTGCAGCTTCTGTTGCTGGTACAGTCATGCTAGCTCGATCACTGTTCCAAGATTTCTTGCCCAATGATATCCAACACTACTTCTTTTCTCGCTTTTGCAAAATGTTCAACACTCGCTTCTCCCATATCACCATAATCATTGACGAACTGGATGGGTTAGCTAAAAACCAAATCTACGAGGCTGCCAGTATATACTTGGGCTCCAAACTCGCTCCTTCAGCTAGCAGACTAAACTGAGCAAGCCTGAGAAAGAACACAATATTAAACTGACCACGGAAAGCCATGAAGAAATGGTCGATATGTTTAATGGAGTTAAACTGAAGTGGGTTTTAGTTTGTAGAGAATTTGATCCCTGGAGGTTGAATAACTCTCGTGATATGACCCCCGGTACTCGATCAGAGGCAAGGACTTTGGAGCTTACTTTCCGTAAGAAAGAGAAAGACGTCGTCTTTGACTCATACTTGCCTTATATTGAGAGAGAAGCAGAGAGAATACTACAAGAGACAAAGAAAATAAAAATCTTTACTGTTGATCACAAAAATCTTTATGGGTACTGGGCTGATGCATGGGTGTCAGTGAACCTCGACCATCCTGCAACATTTGATACAATTGCCATGGACCCAGTGGAGAAGGACAACATGTTGAAGGATCTTCAAAGGTTTGTGGAGAGGAAAGATTACTATAGAAAAGTAGGCAAAGTTTGGAAAAGAGGGTATTTGTTACATGGACCACCGGGTACAGGCAAATCCAGCTTGATCGCAGCAATGACCAAGTTTCTTAACTTTGATGTTTATGATTTAGAGTTGGGTACGTTGAGGTGCAACGCGGAGCTTAAAACATTGCTTCTTTCAACTGGGAATCGATCCATGATCGTGGTGGAGGACATAGATTGTACAATTCACTTGCAAAATCGGTCACAAATAGGTGGAGTTAGACTGTTGCGTTAAACCTAGTTTAACTTAATTTGTAGGATAGTCTAACTCATAAAGAAGACAATTCACACAATAAATTTAAGTGTAGATCCAATCGAAATTTGGTTAAAGTCTTGGACTGTAATCAATTTATCTTATCGCTCAACTTGATTTTTGATCTATACAGAGGTTAAGTTCTATGAACTTAGCCGCATAATGGTGTGTAATTAAAAGTATGCATGTGTTCCTCAAAGGGATTGAAAGAATGGGAACCGAGTGAACTGACCACGGGTATTTAATGGTTAATAATTTGTATACGTAATGAAACTGATTTGTGTACAGAAAAACAAAAGTTTTGGTTAATCATGTGTGATAATATATTAGCACATGAAAAAGATAAAGAGCAATTGAGGCTGACAGGATTCAGTACTAGTGGAATAATGTAGGTGTGGAGTTATGTCATATCATGTACTGAGCGTCAGTTGTGTAAATGGGCAAAAAATGTACATTTTCCGGCTGCTCAATATGAATTATTGAATTATACCCTAAAGCTGAAAATTGTGGTCAATATTTCCCGCTTCTCGTATCCTAGACATACGTACAGTGCTCTATCTCTATCAATAGACAATAATTTACCAACATGAGGACATGGAGCTCAATTTTACAACAATTGGACTGTTAAGCTATATTCATCATCATGTAAGAATAATCTAGTAATAATGGAGAGAGAAATAATTAGAAATAACCCCATCGGGTGGGCTTGGCTGTTAACAAAATTTGCTCCATCATTGACTTCTTGGGATTAAATCACTTTGAGATTACCTATCACATTTGTGAATTATTTTAAAATATTGAATTAGAACATTAGGTTTATAAAGTATTTAATGGGCCACGAAGATTAGTCGAAAGATGTGAGGAAGCTGACTGGACACTTTGGAAGAAATAATTAGAAATTTAATTGGATAATTCTATTTAAGGACTTTCAAATGTAAACGTACATGGATTTAATGACGTAACGGGGGTTATGTAACATAGTGTGCCCACACCAGTGTGATGATAGCATACTCATCACTTTCGCTATTCGGTTTTCTATATTTTGTAGACAACACGTACATATTATTTCTTTACTTTACTAAGTATGTGAGCTTGGGTCCCTATCTTTCCTCTCATTTCTCACTTGACTCATTTCTCGCTTTCTTCGTATGTGTTTTTCGTTTTGGTTGTTGCGATTATAATTTATTATTAGATCATCGTACAATGCTAACCCCAAAATTCAGATAAATAATTAAACCCTTCTAACATTACAATCTTTTTTTTAAGGTAATTGAGGTATTCAAGCTCGTATAAAAGTTTGTCTACTCCTCAGAGTCACGAGATACCTTACAAGTCTAATGAACTAAGATAATTACACAAATGTAATAGGTACCTCTCCTACGACTCGAACACTAGACCCTCTGGATATAACTAACCTTAGTAACTAAAGGGTTTGCCATCCGACTAAAAGGGGAGAGGTTTCAAACATTACATTTTGACCCCTATCTTTTGTGAAATAAATTTGTTACCCTTTGTTGATGCAAGAATTACACCCATTAGAGTGATCCGATTAATCTTGGTGGAATAGGAACGGATGTACGCGTGATTAAAGATAATCAGCAAAGTAATGAATGTAAATGCATAAAAAGTAAAGAACGCAATCGATTTTAAAGTGGTTCGGCAAGTTTAATCTTAAGCCTACATCCACTGTATCTCGTATTGCTTAGAGAGCTTACAAGAAACGATAATAATGAAGAGGTGGAGGAAATGAAGATTGAAAGCATGAAAGGTTGGATGCATAGGACTCAAAAAAATTTCAAACAAAGTGTGAGAAACTTATACCTACTCCTTTGCTTAAGGTTGATGAAGCCAAGACTCAAAGAGATGAGTCCTCCACACTTTAACACCACCTTGAGAGAGTAAGAGAGTGGCCGAGCCCTTGAGAGAGAGATTTTGATTTCCTTTTTAGTGAACAAAGTGAATGAATGACCTAAAATGCAACCATTTGCATTTATATATACATGGGCTATTTTGCGATTAGTTGTTTTTCACTTCCAAGCCCCAATAAAATCTTATTTTAAAAAGGAGCCCAAGTATTTATCATTTTACCCTTTGAATAATCAATATTATTTAAGGGCCCATGTAAACTAAACTAGTTTACATTAACAAACTATAAGTTTACCCTTTTGCCCTTTAACTATTAAAAGGTTATTTTAGTTCATCTCATTTATCTTAACGCTTTAAGATATAATAATTAAATACAATTAATTATTACTTGACCATTTTAACCCCTAAAATGTTACAAACAATTTTCTATATAACTATTACCATAGAAATCCAGTCACTACCCTCGGAAAGTGCTAACCCTCTTCAGATAATCATTTCTCTCCCTTATCCTTCTCTAATTTCTCAAGGCTATTGGTGTGACCATGTAGGTCCACCATGGATTAGCCGTGAGCTTATTCTTGATGAATTTGGAAACCTGTCCGGAGGCCCAACGACTATGGTAAACATCTAACAATGTGCCATAGTCCCTAAACCACGATGAAGAAATACTTCATCGAACCCATTTTAGATCATATGTACCATGCAGGTAAAATCATTCCATTGATATATCCTGATTGAGTACGGATTCATGGAACGTCAAAAACCTAAACTCGATTTTCTACCGAATCGTCGATCAATATGTCCAGAACTCGTCATCACGAACTTGGTTTCGTATGACTAATAATAGACTCTGGCTAGAGATTCTGATTTCTGACATTTATCGACGTTCGTCCAGGAACTCGAATCCGGATGGAGTCAGCGGTACTCCTGATCCTATATTTCCGAGTCAATGGATCTCTTCTTGACCATCGCTCATTTCAACGTAATCAACAATAAGATGACATGCTTCGTGGTTGGAGAAGACGATGAAAGCACCCAGAAGATGAAGGGGCACATCTTGCCAGAAAACGTTAGTGTTTAGCGGTGGTTCCTGGCGAGTGGTGGCAGAATGGAGATCCAAGGGTATCGGGAGAAAGCTCTTGAGCTGCGGAGTGAGGATTGGTAACTGGGGAGGTGCAACGTCGTTGGAAAGGGAGTGAAAACGCATTGGGAAGTTGAAGAGGCATGGTGGAGGCAACATGATTCCTACGAGTTTAGCGGCAACGAAGCTTGGAAAGGATAGATCAGACCTTGGTGAAGGTGGATCGGCTCTTGGGTAGATGAACAGTCATCGGAAAAGCGTGGAAACATGGAGGAGATGATGAGGGAAGGTGAAGCACCACTCTTGGGAGGTGAACCGTAGTTGGAACTCATTGGAAAATGGTGGAGAGTGGCCAGAATGAGGGTGGAGGGTTGGCTGGTTCGTTGTGGAACTACTCATGGGCTGTTTGCCAAGCCGCCTCTCGGGGTTAATTTGCTAGCAAGAATCACGCTCTTGAGCGGAGGGCAACCTGTGATGTTGAGGGTTTTGGTCGTTCCTCGATGCTGATGAGCCTGACTAGTCATCGGCAGAGTCATTCCCTCCCGGGGGAGTAACTTCCATGAAATGTGGCTGATCGAGTTTACGGTTGGCTGGCTGCTCGTTTTTTATCTTAGCCATGTTTTGTTGCACGCATGTGCAACCATCGCCCTTATCTTCTCCATCAGCTAGCCATTCTCGGGATTAGATATTCCTACCCCTAGCTGATTTGCAACCTACTACGCCGGTGATATTTATGGCCGACGTGCAGTAGCGTCTTGATGCACCTCCTAGTGGGTGGCCTCCACATTATCGTGGTTTCCGATGGTGGTTTTGGATCTGGTACGAACCATTGTAAATTTTGGGAGATCAGTTCACTGAGGTTGTTTGCTAGAAATTTTGAAAGTAAGCGGGGGCCATCATTCTAGCGCCAAAATATTGATGCAAGAATTACACTAGCTAGAGTGATCCGATTGACCTTGGTGGAATCGGAACGGATGTACGTGTGATTAGAGATAATCAGCAAAGTAATGAATGTAAATGTAGAAAAAGTAAAGAACACAATTGATTTTAAAGTGGTTCGGCAAGTTTAATCTTAAGCCTACGTCCACTATATCTTGTATTGCTTAGAGAGCTTACAAGAAATTATAATAATGCCTAGAACAATTTGCTAACCCTTCTTCCATCACGGGAAAAGGGTTTATGTACAGGTTTTTTTCCAAAGGTAAGAGCAAAATTAAAGGAATTACAATCAAGATGAAAGTGCAACTCCGATATTCTCACGATTGAGCACTAAGATCGCGCTATCATTGCTATTGATTTGATCTCTTCTGAAATATCTAGGATATGAGCTTATCTGTAAGCTGTCAAATAACTATTAGGATTTGTCGTGACTAGCTTATGCTGGGTCGGACAAGTCTTGAGTCGAATTGATCCTAGCTCGAGCTATAACCTCGCAGAAATCTAACTTCTCCGAGCTTAATGGAAAAATCACACACAACACCCTTGATTTCCAAAATTAACAACATACCACTCAATTTTAAAAAATCAAACAGTGAACTTAGTTGCAACAAGATATTAATGTTATATGATTTTACCTTCAATATAGATTATTAACCTAACCAAAATAAAACCTAATATATAAGTAGTTAAGCACCAAAAACTACAAAAAAGTTCTAAAAAAAAGGCCTAGTTTGATTTTTTTTAAGTTGGGAATGAATTTGGTTTTTGATTAATTTGAGATGTTGAGATATAGATTTATGTATTTTTATTAATTTGAGATGTTGAGATATAGATTTTTGTATTTTTATTAATTTGAGATGATGGATGGCAAGTATGGACAAAGACTAAACATTGGTGGCACAATGTTAGTGTTTCAATTTTCAAATCAATTTTTATTAATTTGAGATGATGGATGGCACACTGTTAGTATGGACAAAGACTAAACATCGGTGGCACAATGTTAGTGTTTCAATTTTCAAATCAAGGATTGCAATTTGCAAATGTTGTTTGACGAAACATAGGGGGTCAATTTTATCTGGCCTAAAGCTCATTTAGT